TGTTAAAATGGTAATTAATAAAATGTGTTAATTTAGTGCATTTATTGGGCCCACACTCGGCGGTTATCTTATCGAGACAGTAGGCTATAGGAGCGGAACTTTTGTTATACTTATGATCGATGTTATACTGGTATGAATTTATATAAATTGGTTTAATTTTATAATTTAACATTTTAAATTGTTTATTTCAGGTTTTACTGCTTTTTATTTATATGATGTTAAGAAAAACTACAAAATTAAGCAAAAATCCTGAAAAACAGTCACTTTTGGGATCTAATATTACGCCATAAATTGATTTGTGATTTATGTTTTAAACTTTTGTAAAAAATGTGGTTTTTATTTATTACAAGTTCGTTTAGTTTTAATTTATTGTTTTATAACAAATAACCTTGCTTTATTTTATGTTCATTTGTACCCCAATTTTATATTTAATTAGCATATATTGTACAAAAATTTTTAATAAAATACTAATTTATATTGAAATTAAATACGGTGTTAAAATATTTAACCATGATCAAAGAGTTGTCTTTACATATTTTTAGCGGTAAGAGGTATCGAGTTCTAGCTTAAAGATCTATTCAAATCATATGATAAGGAATATTTTAAGACCTATTTATTATCACTGAAACTTACATATCACATATATAACTTATCACATAAATACATGTAATTAGTAATTCTGTAATTTGTTTGTTACCACATATTTTCACATATTATGAAAAAATCGGTGAAATAAGTGAAAATTGTATGATATTGTCAAGAATTTTACAAAAACAATTGATGCAAAATTGATATTTCTGGTAAAATTTTAATTATTAATTTTTTTGTAACACTTCGAGAATATTTATCAATAAAAATATTATTGTCAGTTCAAATAGACAAAAGTCGGAAAAAACCAAATTTTTACAAAAATTATTTATAAGTAAATCTAAATATTTCTATTGAATATTATCAGAAAAACTATGTAGATATTTGCTAACGTAAAATAAATATTTTCAATGTTTTAAGAGAATAAACCGAACATTTTCGTGATTTTATTACCACATATTTTTCGATTATTGTCACATATTTCTTAACTTATTACCACATATTATATTACATATTTTGGAGAATATTACCACATAATATGTATATTTATATTATAAGCAATGCTTTAACCATGATACAATTTACATAGCATTGTACTTCCATACTATCAATATTTTTAATTTCGAAACAGTAAGTGAGTTGTCTGAGGAAATGTTTGCACAATTATTTTACAGAATATCATAGATTTTTATTTTGAAGCTAAAATTTTGAATAAAATAAAATAATAATTGTTCACAACACAAATGAATTTTTAACAACAATTTCTAATGAAGAATGTGATCATTACTAGATTACGGATCCCTTTTCCCTCTCCATTCTCACTAGTGATTGAAAAATTTTTAGGTTTTAGTATCGTTTCGGTATTGTCTCACAATATTGTATTCGTATTGACTAATATTGCAACAATATTATAAGAATATTGCCAATATTGCTAGTATTGCATTACCAATATTCTGTATTGTTTGTTTTGCCCGAAAGGAGTTGAACTGAATAATAAAAGCTATACTGGCCCTGTCGTATAGAGTCGTGTATATCGGGTTTATACTGTATTTTAAATAAAATTATTACTTTTGGCATAAAAATAATTTTAATGTTTATAAAATTTAATTCAAGCTATGATTCAAAACAATATTAAATTAAATAAAAATTAGAGTTTAATCGTGAGGTTCTGGCAATTAATTGGAGTTTGAAATCAGTCGTCGTCGTCATCAGTCATCTGTTCCGCCTCTTCGTCGTCATTGTCTTCACTCATCTCTTCTTCTTCTTTAGTTTCGACGACTTCTTTACTCTTCTTATTCTTCGATCGTTTACTTTTGCGGCGTTTCACTGAATCGTCAGTCTTTTCGGACACTTCCGGCCGAACGAAAGGCACGTATTCTTCGAAATATCCGTCCGATTCCCAAACGGCGTCTAAAGTGATCTTAAATTCTGACATTTGATTGCCTAACAGTTTCTGAAGAGACAAAACGCCGCAATTAATTAAACACATCGGGAGTACCGTATATAACTCGGGTATTACCAGAAGCCGGGCCTGTTCTGAGGTGAGAGCAACGCCTTCTTTGCACACTTCATAGTCCCTGAGAAGAGTGACCACTCCTTTCTGCAGAGACGAAGGCATTCCCAGTTGTCTTAAGTGAGGCTCCATTGAGTGCGGGAAGTCTGGCAGCGGACCCGCGTCTAAGACAACCGTTTCTGTGGCTACTGTCCCGCTCCGGGCGTAATCGATCTCAACGTATCGATCAAACCATCTGTTTATAAAAAGATTAAACTTTTTTTGTCAGTATTTAACTAATAAAAGGATGATTTAAACAATCGCTTACTTCACCACTTCTTTGCGAGATTTATTGGTAAAGAGTAGACCGCACTGACCGTACAGACGGTTACTTAGTTTATGCAAATTGTCTTTATATTCAGTCTCTTTTGTTTTTCCCAAACCAATAGTCATTACTTTGTTTTTGCCGAAGAAGAACCTAATTATACATAAATAACAAAATGATAATCAATGACAAGTGATAGTAAGGAAGCGGTGAAGAGGTGTCCAAACCGGCTGTCTTTCCATTGGTTGCGGACGTCCTTAAGCTTTGAATTTCGCATATTTTG